ACACTGTTACTTCTTAAAAAAGACACAGGAGTTGAAGCAAAGAAGTGGTCTGTTTGTAAGATCTCCATCAACAGGCATGCTTTATTTCAGCTACTGCAATGACTACACGCACGTAAGATCTACATAAAACAGTAAATGGCTTGTGCACACTGCTCTGCATTTAGTCTCTCACCTTTCCTCCCTTTGTGGTGTTGTTTGGTCTTAACATTGGATCCTCTCAGAATAGCCAGGTATCATTTTTCAGTGAGTTTCTCTCTCATCCTCTTTCCAATCACCCATGCAACAAATTTTCTTCTTCTATTCGTCTTGCCATTAAGTCAGAGCCCTGAATGCTATGAACCACATTATTCTACCTCTTTCCTGCTCCAACTTTCTTTTTGCAGTCTACTGTTTTCACAAGTTGTGTCTTTGTTCTCCTGCTTTAGGATTTTCTGCTTTTTAAATGGCCTACCCATTCCAAAGAAAACGGAGAAAACAGACTCCTTTGACAGTCTGGACATGACTTAATGACCTTCTGTTGTCCTTGGTCTGAAAGATGACATAGCCCCAGCTTCACATATGTGAAGGTATTCAGTGGTATAGTGATTGCATGAGATCAATCAGGATTCCTGTGATGCGTTTAGACAAGTTCCCCAATTGCCACACAAATATTTTGAAAGTAATCTACTCCTGTGTCAGAAGAGATATGTCTAAGGCCTCACTGTAGGAAGTGAAAAGACTCTATTGTTCAGCATAACTGACTTTGGGCTTGTTTTGTTTCGTGCTGGCAGACTGGCAGGCTCAGTCAGGACCACAAGCCTGTGGCACTGGGGGCATACCTTTTACCTCCTGCTGCAACTCCAAGCTCTAATCTGGTCGTCTTGTAAGATGCTAAGTAATGTATCCAGCACTAGAATTTTGCTAGGGTAAAACTGATATATTGCTGTTGTGGAGCTGATAGACAAATGGTATCAGACAGATTAATAACAAGAGGGAAATTTTTACATATAGTTTCTCACCACTATTCAGAATATTTACTTACAGAACAAGGGCACTGCAACAAGCACTAATGTATAGTGGAATGTGCTGCAGGACATTTACCTTGTGCCACTGCCATCTGTCTAGAATATCTGGGCTAGCAACACCTGAACTGCAAGTTTAGGTGTGTATCTGAGAGAGCAGAGAGCTCAGAGAAAGCTCCAAGGTTGACCTGGGTTAGCCTACCCTACAGCAGACATGGAGGAGCCTGAAGACTTCCCAGAAAATCATTCTGACAGTTCCTTGATCTGAACAGCCTTCAACCATGACAAGAACAGAAGAAAAGACATACTGTGTCTCATGTGTAGAGATAAAAGAAAGCAAAACCAGAATAAAACCTCCATCATTCAACATGGCTTTACAGAATAACCCGATTTAATGGACACAGAGATTCTTGCTCTTTCCTAGCTATCAGTTTTACTTACTCCATCCTGTTTTCCTGTTATTCATTCATCATTCATCACAATCTGCAGGTGGTGGTGGGATGTGTACAGCTCCACTTGCTCTAAATCTATGTTCGCTCTAGGTTTTGGTCGTGTATGTATCTGCCTGAACAGCATCAACACAAGCAAAGCAACAAAAACCAGCAAGAACCTGTTGAGTAGACATTTGAGGCAAATTATGTGTGTTGCAATACTGAGGTGACAGCCACAGAAAACTAGGCATAATAGCTTCCCTTGTAAAACAGGGAGCTCAGCAACAGGCTCAGTCTCAGGTGGCTAATCTCAGAGGAACGCTGTGGACTCGCACCAGCGGAGGGCCTTAATTTTCCTCCCAGTCAAAGTCCGAGTTCCTTGCAAATATAAAGAGTGCTTACAATCCGATGGAGCAATAGGTGAGAACAATTAATTGTAACTGTTGAAGGCTACTTTTATTGTGAGCTTTCTAGCTACTTTTAGGATTTCCTCTGCTTCTTTTCCTTTCTTCCTTTTTTTTTCTTCTATTCTTTCTACTTAGTTACTTACTTCTTCAAAGTTCACAACGTGGTTCAGCCCTAGGCTCTCTGCTAGATGCCAAGTTTCAAAGTTCCCAAAGTACGTGTCTATGCACACCAAGCATTATAAATTACAATTCCACATTTAAGCCAACCAGTTTATAGCCATCTGGGATTCTTCAGAAAAAGTGGCTTGTAAGCACTGTAAACAGTTTTTTCTTTCCTGTGGACATCAAGAAGTTTCCAACTTCACTGCCATCTTCATTTTGCAATCTGGGTTCAAGAGCAAGGTATAAATTTAAAGAAGATGATAATGCAAATAGTATTAATAAAAGAAACCTCAGAGTGATCTGCTTTTCCCTAATAAGGCAGGCTCTATCAGTGTCCCAATAGCAGCAAGGTGCCAATACAATTAATCAGTCTGTTTTAAGTTCTCCCTAGACAGCAATAGTAACAGCTTGTTTCAGTCTGTTTATATGGGTCTGACAGGTCTTCAAGATGCTGTGTTCACTTTCTTGTGATTAATAGTCATTCACATACTAAGGTGAAGACCAAGCAGAAAAAGAATGTTTTTAGAGCAGGACAGATAACTGGATTCTCTCTCCCCCAGCCTTTCACTTCTAACTAGGAAACAGTACTAAATGTAGGAATGCTGTCTCACTGTACTGTTTAAACTCCTCCTTTTCCTGCAACTTGCCCAAACGATGAGTCAAAGGGAAATTTAAATCACATATTTTCTTTGTTTACCTTTCAGCTGTGCTTCATAAAGCCATCACATGATAGTGAATATCTGCACACTGTGATACTACATGCAGAAAGCAAAGCCACTGGAACCAGTTTTGAGCAAGGAGTAACTCCTCCTGGGGAAAAGAACTCTTCCTCTTTTCCATTTCTGCATACCTTCTGGAGGAGATCTGAGAGACCAGATGAAGCAACAGACTTACCCCCACAGAGACTTCACAGGTCAAAAAGGAGATGGACTCTAAGGTGTGTTTTGTACCTTCCTTAGTGGCTTTTACAGCACTATTAACAAGTTTTACCAAATTGGAGATGCTTCCCTAGTACAAAAGTAAATCCTTCTTGGGCTGAGCCGCTCTCTACCACAGAGAACTTTATTTAGAGACCATGAAGGAACTTGTAGATAAGAAAAGGGACCATTTGGAGAATTTCCCAGTTTCCACTTCTGCCATTCTAGGCATTTCATTTTGATACAGGGAGTTTTTTCTCTCTTCTCCCAGTCCCAAGAAAAGTCCATTCTGTGCTAATTTTTGTCCATTGCCTCTTCTGTCCATTTCCTCAGCCCTTGTCATCTCTCATTTCTAGAGGTAGGTTTTTGGGCTTCCTCTGTCCTGGTTACTTCATTAACCCTTAATTTCTTGAGAGCCCTTCCCTCTTTGAATTTCCTCCTCCTGGCTTTCCCTCATCCTTTGTCTCTAATTCATCAATTTCTCCACTTAGGCCTTCTTTGATCTCTCCTCTTTCACTCTCTTACCTGTGTCCACTCAGTTTCACGTCCTCCTACTTTAATCACAGCATTCTTTTCTTCAGCATTAATCAGAAAGCCTAATTTCTTTTCTGCTACTTTTCTGAACAGCAGCCTTCATGAGTCTGTTTCTCCCTTTAGTTTTATTGCAGTTGAAGAGGATGTCAGAGGAAAGTTATTAGAGCTGAACAGCAAAACAGCTCTGCAAGAGAATATAATCCTCTCAAATAAATGAAAAAAATTCCTGTTTTTTAAAAAGCCATAAACTGTCCTATCAAATAACAGGAATTGAGCAGCAAGACACAAACACATACCAACAAAAAGTAGGTCTGACTCAAGAACTCAGTGGTCCTCTCCAGAAACCTGCTGCTATATCCCTCTCTTAGTTGTTCTAGGTAATTCAGGAAAGCAATGACATAGGTTATGTACTGAACAGCAGATTGCCTCACTTCTTACCTGTGGAGCCAGCAGAGACACTAGTGGAGCCTCCTTTCACTCACAGAAAATTCAGGTGCCCCATCCCTACCAACACCAGGCTTGAAATACAGCCACTGATGTAATCTGCTTTCTTGCCCTTTGGCAGAACATAATTTTAAAGCAGTGGCTTTCCTATTTGCAGTCCTGTCTCACGTACAAACTAAGCATAAAAATGCTTACAGATGCATTTACCATCAAATCAGCTGCATGTGTCTGGAGATACTCACCCCACATTATGGCATGGGCAGAAGTATCTCCCCATCTCTTTCAGAGATTCATAACAAAAGTAACTTGGCTTTTTTAAGGTCACAACTGTGGCTTAATGGTTTTAAGAAGACTGTTCATTTTCAGTTTGTTAGAAAAATGCAGCAGCAGCTGAATGGACTAAGATAAGGCACTTCTAAAACAAAATTAAACTTTTTATAAAACTACTGTGTTCACCACAAAACACTAAGCATGAACCGCCCTCTGACATGCTGTGACCAATGTGTTTTCCAATAAATGGAATTCTCAGCACAGCCACATCACAGTGGGAGAAGACAGTGGCTGAGCAAGAGCACAACTGTCTGATGTCACATACACCATATGCTGGGTCATGAGCCAGGGGACTACATCTGGTCTCTAGCTTTGTGTGAGATCATATCACAGAAGAGGGCAGAAGCGCTGGACAGGTGGTTGATTCTGGCCTCTCTCATGTTTTGCCATACTGTGAGGTGTTTCAAAGGTTCTCAGAGTGGCTAACACACTGTGATGTCATGGCAAGAAGCATGAGGCAAGAAGCATCACATCTGACTAGAAGTACTCATACACAGCCAGGAAGCCTGAGGAGGAGTAAAAGATGCTCACCACTATGTGTGACCCCTGGACTAACAGCTGTCAAGAACAACTTCAGATATTTAGAACCTATAAAAACATAATCTTTGGCAGCAGATTATCGAGCTGCCCAGGGAAGTCAAAACCAAGCACAACATCTTTCTAAATGGGTAAGATATTCAGAACTAGACTGTGAGAAAAAAAAATTAAAAAATGAGAAAAGCAACATGACATTTAACCTATACCCTTGCGCTTTATGCTGTCTGTGGTTCTTACCTTCTACGCAGATCTTCAGCCACTGCTGCTCTGCAGCTGAACAAATAGGCTCGGAGAGATTTTAGCTGCTGTCTCAGGCGGACAACAGTTGCCAGAGGTTCAGCATGCTTGTACAACATAGGATTTTCCTGCTGGATATCAATCAATGGCTCCTCATAAACATATTCCAGAAACTCCTTGGCTTGCTTTGACACCTGAAAAATAAAGCAAACAGTTTAGCCAGGCTTTCCTCCCAGCACTTTTAAAGCAGATCTTCCCCTCTGTGATCTGTCAGCTATTCTGTGCATCTGAAAACTTTGTTACCAATTACAAATGAAGACAGATTTGAGGGTGATCCAACTGTCTCTGCTTACAGGCAAGTCAAATTTCATCAAGCCCATCAAATCTGAGTGTATGGGATAACTGCTTACTCCAACTACAGTAATATTTACAGTCACACATTTTCAATGCAGGGTAACACAGATTACTAGATGTTTTCCAAGTCTAAAACCTGATTACTGCTCTCTTCCCTGTTAATATTTTTCTGGTTGTTTATTTTATTTTTGGCAAGAAGCAAGTTATTAGGTAAGTGCCAAAGCCCACTATTAGGATAGGAAACACACACAATGCAAATACAATCACATTTTACTATCCCAGGGCATAGAACTCCCCTGTAAAGTACTACTTCTATTTGTTTCATGTTCAGTCAGCATGGTTAAAATTACGTAAAAAGAAAACAACCAGAAACACATCAATCAAGTCTTTTTTTTTTTTTTTTTAAATACAGCTAAATAAAGTTGAATTTTACTGGTATTATTCTCAGTGTTTCATCTGCAAGAAATTTTTCTTATGCTTTTCTCATGATTGCGCTCTGTTCTATCTCCACCTGCAAAGAGCTACTGTAATCTCGATAAATTAATGGGACTTTTGTTCTCAGTAGAAAAGACTCCCGTTTCTGAGGTGAGAAGGCCAAATTCCCTCCTTATTTCTGCATTTTATCACAGCTGGAAATGTTTCTGAGGTGAGAAGGCCAAATTCCCTCTCATTCCTTATTTCTGCATTTTATCACAGCTGGAAAAGAGAAGATGGGATTATGTGAAATGAGCTGCAAATCACTTGAAACTGTGCTATAGAAATACTGCTACTGCCACAATTCAATTCCTGGACCTTTAAATCAGTGTTTACATTGAGTGGAGGAATGGACAAATTAGGCTAACAAAAGGAGAAAGGGCACCCCACAACCTCTTGAGATTTAGGATGCTACAATGTTAGTTTCCTTCTGGTAACGTAAGGTAGGAAGTAGGGAAAAGCAATATCGATTCTTATAAACAGCATCACTTCCAAAAACAGCACAAGCCACTAACTACAGGAGTCACTAGCTACTTACAGGGAAAGCCAGCCTCCAATGCATAATAAAGACATAAAAAACAATGCCAAGGCCAGCCTTTCCGCCAGTAACTACACAAATACAACATGTAATTTTAAATACAGCAGACCTTAAATCCACATTTCCCAGGCCCTGAAGGTGTATTGAATACCTAACCTATTTTCACCTATTTGTATTAAACATCCCACCCCCCACTCATTTCTTTCTCATGTCTTTCTTTTTGTTTCTTTGTTTTTTGTTAAATAATACATAAGCAAGGAACTGTGCTGTCTGAATGAAAGCACAGACTGCTATGAAACTGCTATGAAAGAAGCAACACAGACAACTTGGATTTTGTCGAACAGAACTCAACAGACCCAAAATATATCAAGTTTTCTAACATACTATGACATACTAACTGCAGTGCACAAAAAAGACTGCAGTTAAGCAACCTGCTTTTACAATTGTTAAACTATCTGGCTGTAATATCTCAGTCATCTCCTGATCTGCTGTATCTATAGTAAATATTATGCCTCTTCCACCAATTGGCAAATTAAACCACATATTCACTGATTCCCCAGGAAGCACGTGAATGCTTGGTACAGTGACCAGCACCTCCCACCAGGAGGACTTGGTGCCCAGTGTCCTTCTGTAGTCCGAG